CTGCTAAATTTTTTTTTTAATCCGTCGTGGCGCTTGATATGACCAAAATATTTCGGTTACCGAGAAAGGATGCTGTTTATTAGCCAATCTTCGTTGATGTTCAGATCTTTTAAGATGTCAATATTTCTCCTCTTCTTTGTTCAAGATATTCTGAGAATCTTTCTATAGCGTTTCAGCTCAAACGCCCCTATTCTCTTTCTTAAGAACTGAGAGATAGTCCACGACTCACATCCGTATTTAGCCAAAGGGAAGATGCACGCTCTCAAAATTCTAATTTTTTTCTCCTTACTGGTGCTTAACCAAAGATTTTTAAGGCTGTTCAATCTTTGCATTGCTATGACAATCTTCCTTTTAATTTCTGTCGAACAATCTCCATAGCTGTTTATTATAGAGCCTAGATATTCACAGTTTGTAACATTTTCAATTTCTCCATCATTTTTTGTTATTTTTGGGTGACAGTCCGTTTTTTTTTTTTTTTTACACCTACTGTGACAAAATGTTAGTGTCACGTGTCTTTGTTAAGGTTTCCCCTAAGGAACCAAAAGACACTCTGAAGTAGTTTAAGTGTTGAGATTTTACTTCGCAATGGTCCAGGCGGTATCCCGCAGCTCAAATGAATATCTAACCTACTTCATGGGTGACGCTACTCAAATTATGGCACCAAAGAAATATTCCTAGGCTCAACTTGTACTGGCTTCCCAACTACTTTTAAGCCCCTAGACTAGATAGTAATCCTCTGCTAGCCAGATTACCACAGTTTAACATGCATTACACAATACAATACAATACATTCCAGACAACTTAAAATTTGTGAAAGATGGACACTAACCGCAGAAAGTAAAATAATAAAACATCATGTAATCAGTGCAACGCAAGTAAGAAAGTAAACGAATTAATTCAGCCATACAAAGTAAACCAGCTACGAAAGCAAACAATACTCTACTCCAGATGGACTCCTGGGTTTGTCCCTATCAACAGCAAGTGTCATCATTGCCAAACTGTGGAATTGTGGACCTAAGTAACTGGCACTGAGTGTTAGTGTTGACTGCATTTGCTAGCAATCACAACTGATCTGTCCAGGTTTTCCTGTTTATCTCAGGTATGACCTCTATCCACATCTGGCAGTTCACGTTGAAAGTCTTGTGAATTCCTTTTATGAAGATCACTATTTACTAGTCACTAGAATGAATAGAACCTTAAATGCCTAGCCTAGACCACAATAAAATGTTAATAATGTTCAGTGGTATCTCACGGAAGATGATTCCGTATTAAAACTTATAGTTCTTGATTTGCTGCTGTGCCACCCTCTAGTCGTGGCAGTTGTTAGCAGCATGACCACATAAAAAGCTCCTAGGTTACGGACACAAGCTGATGGTGATTGCTTCCCCTTTTCTAAGGGTCATGCCAGTGTGTTGAGAAGTGACCATGCGGACAGATTGGTTGGCTCTGCAAGACTTGGTAAATAGGAGATTTAGGAAACTGTAACAACTGGAGAGGTATCACGTTACTATCAGTAACTAGTAAAATCTTAAGCCAGATAATTCTTAAAAGAATGACTCATGCACTTAATAGTAAAATAAGGCAAGAGCTAGCAGGATTCAGAAAGGGGATATCATGTATTGATCACATTTTCACTTTACGTCAAATAATTCAACAATGTAACGAATGGAATAGTTAAGTTTATTTGACCTTTGTGGATTTTGAAAAGCCTTTGATAGCCTGCATAGGGAATCATTTTGGAAGATTTTGCGTCACTGTGGTGTACATTTTATAAAATTTTTATAAAATACATTTTATATTTGCATTTTATAAAATGAAAAACATCTTGTGCAATACATCCTTGTCATTGAGAGAAAAAGAATTCTTGCTTGCTACATACATCCAGTTTTAACATATGGCTGTGAATCCTGGATAATCGGTAGGCAGGCCAAACAATTTCTAGAGGCCTCAGATATGTGGTTTTACAGAAGAATGCTTAGAATACCTTGGACAGCCAGAAAGAGCAACCAAGAGATTTTGAAAGAGGTGGGAGCCCGAAGACAACTTTTCACAGACATCAGAAGGAGACGGTCATCATTTTTCGGCCATGTTATGAGAAGAGGGAAAATAGAACATGTTGTGACCACTGGAAATATCTGTGGAAGGAGGGATAGAGGAAGACAACGAGAGAAGATGCTTGACAGTCTTGTTGCATGGCATGGAGGGGTGTCGGCACACGAACTGATACATGCTGCAGGAGATCGCAGATTATGGAGAGGCATGTTCGCCCACGCCAGTCGGCAAGGCACCTGATAATGATGGTGTACAAAGAAAATAGTAAATTTGATAGTCTTTTACTTAGAGTTGCAATGCAAGGTAGTTTGTCATAATTATACAACATAAAGTTTCTTTGTCAACACAGGAGTCAGACTGGGATGCCTACTATCCCCCTTTTTGTCCAATTTGGCCATTGACTGGCTGCTGAAGGAAGTTACTCGAGATAGAAAAAGAGGCATCAGGTGGTCACTCACCTCTCTTTTAGAGGATCTGGACTATGCAGATAACATCAGCCTTATATCAAGCCGTCATGTGATCGCTCAGGAAAAGATTAAAAGACATTCAACAACAGCCCTTAAGATAAGACTCGAAATAAACACCAGTAAGACTAAAGTAATGAGAAATAATTTCAACACAAAAAATACAATTATCTTCAATGATGAAACAACAGAGGAAGTTGAAGAATTTATATACCTCGGAAGTAAAGATTCCAGATGGAGATTCTGAAAATGATGTGTAAGATCAAGAATAAACAAAGCAAATTATGCATTGTCAATGCTTAACAATATATGGAAGTCAACGAGATTTAGTTTGAAGACAAAACTCAGAATATACAAGAGCAACATTTTAGGAATTTTAGTATACAACAGTGAATGTTGGAAAATGACAGCGAGATTTGCACATAAACTTGAGACTTTTCAAAATAAATGTTTAAGGAGAATTCTACGAATATTTTGGCCAAACAAGATCACGAATGAAGAACTGAGGAGGAAAACAGAATGTGCATCACTGGCAAATATTATCAAAGTAAGGTGATGGAGATGGCTTGGACGTGTTTGCGGAATGCCTTGTGACAATGGCAAAATCAGCTCTCCTGTGGACAACAGATGGGAAAAGGAGACGTGGACAACCTAAGGAAATCTGGAGATGGACAATAGAACAGAAAATGAATGAATGTAAACTGACATGGGATACCATGGGCAGAAAAACAGCAGACAGGCAGCAATGGGGGTCACTTTTGAAGGCCTTATTTGTCAACAGCGACATGAAGAGAATATAGATAGCAAGACTTGGTAGAATACTGATGCATGATAAGGCAGACACTGTCTGGGCGTTATTGGAGCACGTGTATACTTCAATTCAGAGGAGCAAATGGATCACCACAGTCTGGTGAGAGTGAGGCAGCGAGTAGTGACAAGGGGATATGGCCTGCTCGACGCTCAGAGAAACGGCAAGATGGACATACCTCTACTGCCAGCATTAGCATTGGAACTCCACACTGGCAGCTGAAGATAGGGACGGAGCATTTATGGAAATACCCCAAGTGCTATGATGTCAGTTCTTAAATCAACTCAGCTGAGAATTATAATAAAAACCTAATTCTCTAAGTGGCTTTCTGTGTAACTCAAACAATACGGAAATAAAATACAGAAAATGCACATGAAAACATCAGACATTTGGAAAAACCATAACCTTTTCCTGTGCCTGTCATATTTCAATATATAAAAACCTAATGAAATTTAGATGAGGTTAGAGTTAGATCACGGGTGGACAAACACAAGTCCCATGAACACTTTAAGGTATACTATGGACCCATATTTGTTTTGACTAATTTTTTTTTAAAGACAAATCTATATCAGAATACATAAAATGAGGGTTAATGTTTTTCTATGACAGCGAGGTCTTTAAATTTGTTCCGTGAACTTCCGGCAAATCTCTCGCTATCACATACTTCTCGTCCTTTTTAGGATGAAATTGTTCGTTCTTTGAAGCCTTTCTATGACTTTTGCCAGGGGCCGCAATATATCCTGGCCATAAATATGGCCTAAAGGCTGAACGCGGTTTCTGGGACCTCTCTACGGTGATCCTCACCCACATGGTGGCACAATGTGTCATCGGGTGTTTTTCGCTTGTGTGGTGTCCTGGTGGGGTATAAAGTCAGTCAGTCAGACTTCCGGTAATCCGCTGTTTGGGAACCACTGGTCTAGTTTAAGGAGTTTATGAATTGCCTGTGACTGAGCTGACGTTTTTAATACAGCACGTACATGTAACTCATAAACATGGCTAAGAAATCAATGCAGGAAATCTGCATTGTGAACTATGTTTTGTACGCTGTGTGTGTGTGTTTTAATTATATTTTGTGAGCAATATATTGGAAGCTATGTTTTGTGAACTATGTAATGTGAGATATGTATTGTGAGCCATGATGTAACAGGGCAATAACACCCAGAGGCTTGGGCACCCTTTCTTTCTCCTCCTCCTCCAACCCCCTCCTACTTTTAGTGAGGCTATAGTTCCAGCCACTAGTGGTAGTATGTCAACACCCTTGTGTTTTACCAGTTGTTTGAACAAATCGAAGTAGCTACTTGTTCTAAAACGTGTTGTGAACCAAACGCTGACTTCGACGTTGGAACAATCCTTACCGGAAACATTGCACTGAAGCCTACTGGATTACCCTGTATATCACTCGGTGCTAACGGTAAAAACGAACATTCTTTATGAAATGTATCAGAGTGTACCTAATTGTCATTTATGCCCGCAGAACATCTTCTGTGTCCATCTGTAAGATTCCACAAGAGCATAATCCGGACAAGTGATTTGTATATTGTTCCTTGTACCCCCTTTTTTTAATGATCTCACATGTTTACGAAAGATCATGTGGGGAAACAAAAACTGTAAACCAGTCTATAGATGCATACTGCTGACACTAATTTCATACTATTTTCACACTTATTTTCTATCAGATGATTAGTTGTTTGCCCACAACTTCTGCTTCACCGCTATCTTTCACACCTGCGTGCGCGACATTATTTGTCGCCAACTTGGGACAGTTCAGCTCAGAGCAGGAACTTAAAGACTTGTTTGGCAGGTGAGTAGCTCCCAATGCTTCTGTATTAGTTACCAGTGACGCAATATCAGATTAGTTGCATGATGTATGATTTGATTATAACAAACATGACTGCCACTGATATACCCTCCTCTGTAAGGCAGTACTAGTAAATCAGTCACTTTGTTTCCACAATTTTAATCAATTGGCTCTTCACCTTCAGTTTAATTTATGCTATTGGTATCGATGGAAGTTCGTAAACAAGGTTGTCATGATAAATGTTTTGGGCATGGAGGCAATTTTCAGTGACACTGGGTCTAGATCTGTGACATAAATGGACAGTATACCCTACCACTGATACATGACTGTCTCTTTTGGCCCTAAGTGTAATACATTCATCTAGTTCCAATCTGAGGTGGCACAGTTTACAACACCCTATTTATACGAGCATTTGGACTTTGCGTGAACAAACACTAACAATACTAGTTTAGTTTTAACGTTTTCTGCAGAAAGTCTTACTATCTAAATAGTCTGATTCGTGGTCAACAAGCATAGCAAATTGTTGAACATGACAGTACAGATCAGTAACAGAACAAGCTTCTTGAAATGGGCCACGGCTAACTCTATCTGCACAGAACATGTTAGACGAGGATATTTTATACTACTGAAGCAAGCGACACATTAAAAACATAATAACCAGACAACTTAAACATAAACATATGAATATATTCCCAAGTTCAAGGTAGCTTCACATGTCGAGGAACCGAATCGCCAAGGGTCATTGGTCACAAATGTGGAACTATAGAGTGTCTGAAAGGATAATGCTTAGGGACGTCTTTTGGAAGTTCCGAGCCACTAATAACGTCATATGGTAGATGTGTTGAAGAAGTTAAATGTAGAATAGCTCAAATGAACGCTTGATTTTACAAAATGACAATACTTTATGCAATCTTTCTTTGTCAACTGAGACGATATAGAGAATTCTGAAAAGCTATGTAAATTCTATCTTGAAAAAAGGTAGTGAATTATGGACTGATGGTACATTAGTAAAAACTTATTTGGGAGCTGCAGATGGGGTTTTATAGACGAATAATGAGAATACCCTGGATATATAATAAGAGTAATGAAGATATCTTGAAAGAAATTAACTAAACGAAGAGAACTGATTGCCCACATCATAAAGAGACAATCTACATTTACAGGTCATGTGATGAAAAGGAGAAAACAGGAGTACATCGTGACAGTAGGAAAGTGGGAGTGAGGAGAGGCAGAGGGATACCGAAAGAACAGATGCTGAACAGTCTGACATCAAGGCATGGAGGATTATCTGTGTCAGAGCTGATTGAAAGTAAACGAGACAGAAGGTTGTGGATCACATGACTACCAACGCCACTTGACATTGACTTTAACACACACAAAATATTGGTAAAAGTTCAGTTGAACCAGATCCTCGCCAGAGCAACGGAGAACGTGCTTTTGTGCTGAGAAGATCCGGTGCAGCAGAAAGGAGAAGAAGACAAGGAAGAAACTGCAACGTCTATTCACTTCCGCTATGAACCCAATGCGCTTCGTCAGCCTCTCAAATACTCCCGTCTCCACGCGGGAGAATTTTTTATTATTTTGAAGCCCCACCTTTGCTGTTACCGGGGACCCTAATATAACCTAACGGTTGAGCGGGGTTTCTAAGACCCCTCAACGGGTGATCCCCACCCGTTTGTGGCACTTTGTGTCACTGAGTGTTAATCGCTTACTGCGATGTCCTAGTGGGGTAAAAATTGAATCAGTCAGCCTCTCAACAAAGAGTCATCTGTATAGATAATTACAGCTCCTGGGTAAGAATTGTCTAATGCCCTGGATGTGGAAAGACTTGCGCTTAACATTAGCAATATTGACAAGCTTTATTAGGGTTGTACAATCCCCACCCCCCTCACCCCCCCCCTTTTTTTTTCTTTAACTTTGTATATCTAGTTTGAGAATAGAGGTAAGGGCAGTAAGTGCAGCTTTATGCTGGCTCGAGAACAAGCTGTATAAACTTATTTTGAATAAAACTGACTCTCACAACATGTAAAGAAAGGTGGAGACATGTATGCTCTACGCACAGTGGCAAGCATCACTTCAGAGGTTCCGGATAGTTAGCATCCTTTGGCTTGTTTCTCCGGGTTCTGCTGATGTATTTACAAAAGAATAAGCAGACATACTTTTTCTCTACCCTTTTGTGGTAAAATTATGCATGACAAGCTAGATGTCTTAATGTTTTAATTATCCTTCCGGAATGAGTGAACAGTGCAAAGCATAAATAGATAATCATAGTCAGTGCTGCAAGGAGTGACCAGAAGACCTGACCGATGCTCAACACCCAAGAGAAAGCTGAGAAGGATATACAATCAGACTGTTACTGTTACCAACGGAACTGGAACTCTTCGCTTGCTGTTGTAGATGAAAGATGAGAACGAATCGCTTATGAGAATGTCCTGAGGATGTGATATCGATTCTGAATTCTAAATTCAACATTGTGATCTGGTTTTGAGAGACTGAATTGCACATGAGTGAAAAGGAAAGCTGATTTAAAGTTCTTCTCTTGTTATATTGATCGTTTGTTCCTGATAACTATACTGTATCAATAATTCGATTTTTCCTCTAATCAGAACCTGTGATAGACGGCTAACGTTGCTGTACGTTTAGCCCTCTTCCTACTAAAGTATTTAGTGACTTTTTGCAGCTACAGCACTTTGCTTAGGACAACTTCAGTTAAACTTTTTTTTTTTTTGTATTGACTGTTTTTTTTTTTCTTCTGTATGTGCAAGATAGGAACGATTAAGATAGGTTAAATCCACCCGCAGATATTTTATAAATGTGTTGGGGGGGGGGGGGGGGGTTTAATGAATCTCAAGACCCAAAGTTATGGCTCCCTTGTCTTCTATGCGATGTCAACTGTAAATGTGTGACATGATCAGTTATGAGGACACAAAACAATTAAACTAGTCGAGGTCTATCAAAAGGAGCTAATACGGGTTTTTTTTTTTTTTTTTGTTTTGTTTTTTTGAGTGTGCTCTTCTCAGTTTACATGTCGCGCTTCCTACCCAGGAAAGTCCTTTGATTCCCCTGCTACTTCTCCTTTCTAGAATACGTACATTCTCTAACGTAACCAATGTAATGTCTACACATCTGTGCTGTCCGATCCATGTCAGTTCCCTCAGTTGCATGTATTCTAGCAGTCAATAATGTTTACTTTAAAATAAAAAGATGTTGCGGCAACGATTTCAGCCAAGCTGACTGACTGACTGACTTTCTACCCCACCAGGACATTACACAAGCGATAAACACCCGATGACACAATGTGCCACCATGTGGGTGAGGATCCCCGGGGAGAGGTCCCAGAAACCGCGTTCAGCCTTTAGGCCATATTTATGGCCAGGCTATATTGCGGCCCCTGGCAAGAGCCAGAGTAGGGCTTCAAATAACGAAAAATTACATCCTAAAAAGAACGAGAATTGAATTTCAGCCAAGCTTGGATTACTTGCTATTAAATTGCTGTTTTCTGTTCAACAAATATCAGTTATTAGAATAGATATTTTCACTAATGCTGACAACAAAACATTTCAGTTTCCAAGGCTTTGTTCGACTTCGAATGCACAATAAAGGGGGATCACCAGTTGCATTTGTTGAATTCCAGGCAAGTAATTTTATTATTATACTAAACTGCATGTATCGTTTTGCCTTTCTCTTGGCATATTTACTATAACAAATCATCATCATTTATCAGATTCGTCTCTTTTATCGCGCTTCCTACCCAGGAAAGTCCTTTGATTCCCCTGCTACTTCTCTTTTCTAGAATACGTACATTCTCTAACGTAACCAATGTAATGTCTACACATCTGTGCTGTCCGATCCATGCCAGTCCCCTCAGAAAGCATGATGTCTATTGTTAAAAAGTAATTACTTCCTGTTTCAATATAGGGCTCACGTTTTGACTTTAAAGTCCCATCCCGCTGTTGTCGTGGGTCCTAATATATCCCAGCCTGGGGATTTGAACTGTGTTTTAGAACCTGTCACTGTTGTCCTCATCCGAATGGTGTCACTTTGTGTCACTGAGTTCTTAGCGCTACGTGTGATGTCCTGGTGGGTTGAACGTCAATCAAAATCAATCTATTATTTCTATTTCTGAGTTTTCAACTTTATCACAGACTACGACTCCCAGAGCTGATGCTTTTTATCAGCTAATGTTATTTTTCTCATTTAAAATATCGGGGTTTCTCTCAGACACGAGAGAAGAAGAGCTGCATAAATGCATTAAATGGGTTGGCATGAGCAGCACCAAACGGCGAACGACAGAAGAACCTGACTTTAGCTGGCCGAGTGTCTGATCCATTCGGAGGGTAAGAGACTATTAGGGATAACTATTATCCAAACATTCTCTGAAATGACTATGACAAATACAGAACCACCCGTCATTTACTTTAAATGTGATGGAGCGGCACGAAGTAACAACGAAAATGGGCCCTTGCAATCTGGCACATGAAAATGCTAACCATATACATCAACACTATAAACTGGATGCTGCTGACAGAGAAGCCATCTGGTTTATTCAAATCTCAATCAAGACGAAGCTCTCCACAACGTAAACAGCAGTACGAATAATATAATCGATGTTCCTATGGACAAAACGTATTTATTTTTAATTATTAAATATATAATTATAGGTCATTCTATTTTTTTTTTTCACATGCAACTGAACCGATCCAAAGTTAGTTAGTGGCTCTGTTGGCATATTTGAGAGTATTCCATGACAAAATATGCAAGCCATCATAATTAGTGTGTGAACCCCGGTTACTGAGTTTGGTATGTGCACTTTATGCCTTTGGCGGATTATTTAAGCTTTAATATAAAAAGATCAATAAATGTCTTGTAAAACTGGGTATAAATTATAAATATAAACTTTCAGGATCTACAATAATTCTGGGAGGATTCCTAGCCCTAGTTACAGTTTACCGCGGCCAGCTCCAGGTATGGGCGTGCTGTTTACCTGGTCCATTTCCGAGTCCATGATGTTTATGTCCCCTCTTTAGATCCAATGTCCAAAACAAAAGAATGACCCATGCAGTATAATTATACGCCCCACAAGTTTATATGCGAAGGTTAAATAAACATGTTATCATAACTAAAGCTGTACTTATATGCGTTTGTTGGCAGTGGAGGACACGCATAGACATTTTTTTTTTTTCAAATCAATGGTTGTCAAGCAGAGCATATTATATCAGTGGTCTCCACCCTGTTTCAGGTCGCGCAGCTTTAGGTAAAGGGCAAGACTCATTCACGCCCCTCCCCCGCTCTCTTGAGTATATAGGGCAAGACCACCACTCTCCCACCCCAACATAATAAAATGTTATTTTAAAAAGTAGGAGGTAAACATTACGGAGATCTCCCTATGTGTGGTAGCGCCGCCTATGTACACTGGGTCACTTTTGATTATTAGTGCTTGCTCAGGCTCGTCAACTTTGCTTAAGGTTACGGGGGTATTCCGGTGTACTTTTTGCTCAAAAAGCTTTCTGCGTTGTCTTTCATTTGCGTTTTCATTCCGAGAAAGAGAATGCCTGTGACCTAGGTTGCAGCATTCTCGTGGGGAGTTTGTGTTAGGGCCAGTCCTATATCGTTTTGAAGTGAATATATCACACACGATATCAGCAGTGTTTTATATTCCCAGGTAGGACAATAAATTGCGCAACAAGAGAAACAAACAGTATTGAGCTACGTTTTGGTCAAAATGTGTTTCTCATCTGTAATGTAATTTATGTGTTATCATATTAATTAGATTTTTAACTGTAGATATACAAACCGCTAATTAAAACATGGTATTTTGTTTTATAAATAGTTTTAAGAAATATTTTATTACTTTATTTGAAATTCAACTGCAAATATTATTACAAACGCAAGTGCACATATTTTCAAAACTAATGATGCCCCAGCCCAACCCCGCATTTCTCGCACCCCGCCCCCCCCCACCCCCCAACCCTCCCCGAAGGTTGGATACCACCGTATATATAAATAAAAACTTAAATTGCAATGTATGGACACTTGTTTACTGTGTTTTCAGGAAATTAAATACTCTTATTTTAGTGAATGAATTCCCCGTGTGGGTTCCGTGGCCCTATTATAGGGAAACAAGAATAGACCCACTGCCTACCCAAAAGTTTGTCGTAAGAGTCGACTAACTGGGAGCATCATTCGAAGTCGGAGTGCATCTGCATAAGAGGCAAGGAACCAACATTCTGAATACAAATCAGTCAGATCTGTAAAACGGATGCACACGCAACACTCAATTCTGGAACAGGACTGCAGTTCAAAAGTGGATGAACAACCAGATATTTCCGTTAGAGTTTACAGCTGGTGAACGCGAAGAAGAAGTGAGTGAATGGTGAATTAAAAAATTGACATCCCTGCACTCGGGAAATTCACACATGTGCTCCGTCTCCTTCTACAGTTGCCAACGAAGAGTCGATATATAATTAGCACCTGTTACTGAATATCTTTCAGACCCATCTGTTCACTCCTCTCTAAATTAGTCTATCAGTGTATGGATACTTGGTCTGTTTTGTGGCACTGTCCACTTGAGCACAGAGAGCCTTTACTGCTTCCTTTTTAATGATAACATAGCTCACCACTTAGAGGAGCGACAGCAGCCAATCTTTCAACTTGCTCGGTACCTCACACGCTCGAATCTCCTGGACAGAATGCATATGATATGCTTCTGAACATAGTCTTATCAAGCGAAGCCAGCCACTATATGCGAGGGCACCAGTTTCTATTTTACGAAGCATACTCCGTGAGTCCGTTGAAATGACTACATTTTGGGCTGTACTGCTCTCAAGCTATCAGAAAGCTGCAGTTACCACCTCCACTTCTATTCCCATACTGGATGTTGTGACTTTATACGCAAGACTTCCTGTTTTCAAACAGTATCTAACATCCTTTGCCACAAAAAAAAAAAAAAAACCTATCTGCTGTAGTTACTTCTCACTACAAACCCATCTTTGATTATATCCCTATGTCTCCTGGGTGTGAATTTTCATCGAATATCTCTTTCGTTTGTGCCTCTGTCCTTGGTTTTCAAACATATAAGATGTGGTCACTGCCCACATCTGCTCCACTGTATGCGTGGACATTCATCAAAAAAGCCTCTATGTTCTTTGTTTTTACAGAGTTGGTCTATTGAATTCTTCTGTTTGATTCTTAGTCATTCCATCTGGTGAGTGCCAGGTTCAGTCAACCATTTTCTTATCAGCAAAGACGGTTCCTCTAATTGACCTGACTGCATACAGAATTTAATTAATCGTTCGCCATTTTCATTAATTGTGTTAACCCCTTCTCCCATTGCGCTCTAACACAGATATTTTCACTACCTACTTCAGCGTTAAAGTGTGTATTTTTAGGTTCCATTTATGTGTATTTATGAATATGTGAGTGTGTGTGTGTGTGTGTGTGTGTGTGTGTGTGTGTGTGTGTGTGTAAGGGTGAATGTATGTGCATTTTTATTGTGCCCATGTGTTATTTGCATGAAAGTTTTACATAAATATGTATATGAATGTAATTATGTATTTATTTAATATGTGTGTATTGTGGTGTTTGTGTGCGTATTATCTATGTATGTTTGTGTGGTGTATCTGTCCGTGTATGTTTTATATATATGTGCGTACGCTAGTATGAGTGTGCTTGTATGTATGTGTTCGTGTATGCGTATGTAATATATATATGTATATTTGAATAGTGATTAGTGATTAGAAAGGATTATCACAGCACTCCGCACAGATCCATAGGTGCTCCGATCTCCTCCTTAAAAGCTCCACAAGTGTAAAACGACTGATGACGTCTGTTCTGTGTTGGTTAATGAAACGTCTTGTCCCCTTAGTGAAATTTTAATTTATTGCTGCTCCAGGCTGCACTCCATTATCCATCAGTCAAGACAGGGATACGGAGTCATGACCATTGGCGTGCTCCTTTGTATGGTAAGTGCAGCGCATGGATTTGATAACATCACTTCTGTCCAGTACTGGACCAGCTATAAAAACCGTAGTGTCAGCAAGATAGTCTACACGCTCGTTTCCTTGAACATCCGCATCACCTGGCACATAGATGGCGGTTAGGGCAGCTATTCGTGAAGTGCTCAGTGTTGGAATCCATTCTTGCCTGATAAATCCAGCTTGGATTTTTTAAGCATATTCATCGAGTCACAAAGAATGCATACGTATGTAAACGTTTGAGTACCAAGCCATGCTAATGCATTTGCTACAGCCATAGTTTCCATAGTAAGGCTACTAGATGTATCAGCAAAGGCGCCATTCATCTCCTTGATGGTTTTCCCCCTCGACCTTACTGTGAATCCCCAAGCATTTCGCTTACCCCGAATTACTGTTGACCCATCTGTGTAAGCTATAGCATCACCTTCATCTGTTTTTTCGTCAGTCGGTGTTTTGACTAAAGTGTCAACAACGCCAAGAATCTGCTCTTTGCAGCTTTCATCAAGTGTGATGTGGACATTAAAATTAATGGTCGGAGAAGGAGGCATAATTTTTCATTTAATGACATAATTAATGTCAGTAAGCGGGCAAACATGTTCGATGGCATCCTCCGCCCGACCCACCCAGGATTTGCCTCGTTTGAGTCTACTCCTTTTTATAAATTTATCATCCATGGTTTTATATATTTTGCTTGATAGGTATATTGTGTTTATTGTTGTAGGTTCGAAGATGACTAGTCTCAGTTGTTCATAAACACTCTGACTTTGAAAGACAAACTGCAACAATTGACTATATTTGCAGGACGTCAGACAAGCGCAGGAAGCCATGACTAGACTCCAAGGATTCGTACTATTGTCTTCAGATCGGGGTGGCATCAGGATTGAATATGCTAAGAGTAAAATAGGTGATGTGGTAAGTCTGGAGCTATAAGACTGTATGTTCATTACCCAATTTTGTATCTAACTTCAGGTTGGCAATTATCGATTTTTAGTGGCTTCTTCTAAGCCTTCGTCGATAGTACTATTAAATCTTTCGGGACTGAACCACCGAATGTTTGCTTTCCTGGCAGTTTCAAAATTGAGGTATTTGAACTGAAATGTAACAGGAAGTTTTCAGAGTATCATATACTAAGCAGAAAAACAATACTGAATTCTTCATAAACTGCATATCTGGAAAAAGAAGGCCTATCAGCTTGCTCGTAAACAGTATCCTATCTTGTAAAATGAAATATGTAGGTCATATCAAACATCTACTACTTTCCCCACAAAATCTAGAAATTGCAACTAGAGAATATCCCAGTAGCTGACAAGAACCATCTTATTCTCGGTGACTTCAGCAGTCACTTCCCCAGTTGTGGCTATGCGTCCATGGATACAAGATGAGAGAGGGTAGAGGAATGGATGGTAGAAACCCTACTAATACTAATCAGCAAACATGAATCTGAACCAGCCTTCTACACTAGACGATGGGGATGGGAAACAAAAAGACACCAGACCTAACTATAGCTATAAGAAAACAGACTAGAACGTCTACAAAACTTAACTGAAGAGAAATTACCAGTGCCCTTTGCACCAGCAAATTCACCAAAAACAAAAACGGACATGCGCCAGATTACTATGGAAGAGGAGACAAACTGCAACTCTCAGGGTGGGGAAAGAAAGTACAAAACTGTGGCATCTTGTGAAGAGTTTAAATGCAGAAAAATATGCCAGCCAAACCAACAAAGTCACTGAAGATTATAGGACAATCTTCATTGTTAAACAAGCAGCAAACATGCTGATCGACTGTTTGCATTGAAAAACGAAATCTGCATTGCAAGAGAAAGAGCAAATGAGGTGAAGGAAAAACTAAAGAAAACAAAGCAAGGCAACAATCAAAATATAATGAACAAACATTTTAGTCTACAAAAATATGAGTGCGCATTAATAACACGTAGGAAACGGAAGGCACCAGACCTGACCAAATAACGAATGAAATTTAAATTCACTTCAAACCAGCTAGTCGACAACGACTCCTAGACTTTACTTACCAATTCTGGACCCAAGGACTATTTCCAAAAGAATGGAAGGAGGCAGAAATAGCCCTGATAGCCAAGAAGGGGAATTACGGGGAAGAGAAGTTAAGTTATCGCCACATAAGCCTCCTAAGCTGCCTTGTAATGAGCATGGAAAGACTAATGAACATATGCTACTCAGTTTTCTGAAAGAAAATAATAGCATTCAGAAAATGCAGAAGCACTGGTGACCAAACCTATTTCGCACAAAAAAAATCGAACATGCTTTCCGGAAAAGAAAAGAAAAACTGCTAGCTACTTTCTTCGACTTGAACAAATAATTTGACAAGGTCTTAAAGAAAGGATAGTTGTTGAAACTAGCACACAGTGGGATAAAAGGACAAATGTTCACCTGGATTAGAGACTTTCTTTACAGACCATGTGCGAAAGTCCGACTGGTCAGACTACATAAGGATGTTCCTCTGGTAGGTGTTAAATCCTGTTCATCCTCTTCATATATTACCTCCCTCCAAACCACCTCGACCTATATCCACAAGACTCTATGTGCAGATGACCTGGTCATAAGAACCTAAGCTGAACACATTAAAAAGAACTAACACAAGATTGCGGGAAGCTATAAATACAGATAAGAACTGGGGAGACACGTGGGGAGTCACACTAAACCGGAACAAAGCCGTCCCAACTCTATTCTCTCTCTCTCTCTCTCTCTCTCTCTCTCTCTCTCTCTCTCTCTTTCTCTCTCTCTTTTCTGCAAAGCCAGAACAAGTCCATCTGTATTTAAACGTTAATAATATTCTTCCAAAAAAAGAGGACAACCCTGTGTCATATTCGACAAAGACTTTCCTGGAACTCCCACATTGAAGACATCCAAAGGGAAGCTACCCTCCGGCTCAAACGTATTTAAAAAAGGTACCGGAACATGCCTGAGTGCAGATGCCAACAATGTGCTACAAGTACACATAGAATACGTACGACCAATGCGGCAAAAAAGAAATCTAAACAAACTGAACAAAATACAGAACATCGGTCTCAAAATCATCACTGAAGTACATCAGTTATTGACCTGGAGGCAACTTCTGACATTCAAAGACTGAATCAATTGAAGAAAAGTGCTTATCCTGATATCGAAGTTTAAACGCATTAACAACAACCCCATGCATAGAATAGCAAACAGTTTAACAAGCAACCGACTAAAACAGACCTACAACCTAAGTATACAGTCACAACAACAATCCCAGGTATTGACAGAAGGCTGAAAAATTTGATCTAGTACTGAAAGCACTAGGTCGTGTCCACAGTTCTTTAAAAAAACGTGAATGGCTCCATATATATATATTTATGTTGTGTTCTGAGTTACACATTAATCACCACATTTCCAAGTGTCTGTAGGTATAACTTTCACAGGAGGACTCGACGACAGTAGTTTCGTCATACAATAGATTTATTCGACAGAACACAAGAGGGTAGTTGCAAGCCCTCACACCGACACAACTGCAGACGCAGACATTGATCCTAATTGACATTTGACATAGTCCTCACTCTCTCTCTCCCAACCTGTAGTATCCTCCCCCCCCCCCCCCTCCCTCTTTCCCCAACCACTACAGCTCCGAAGGTCTACAGCTTCTCACAACTCTAAGGTCGCTGTACAGAGGAACAGGAAAACTCACCTATCAACTGGACCTTACTATAACTTCAACAGACAACAACGGCTGACCGGAGACAGAACTTCACTTGCTCGTTCTCCAGAATGTGCAGATCAGCCTATTGAAGGACTCCAGTGACCGACAGGACTTCTAACACAAGCCCCCTCTAGCACACACTTTTTGTCGGCATCCCTGCTGTTTTGCATGTTTGCGTGTTGTTCACGTTTAAAAGCCTTATTTAATGTTGATTTTGTGTAGCTGACACGAATATTTTTCTGTCCTTCAATGACAATTATTGCATATGATGTTCATAATGTACATATATGTGTTTGTAAAACATGTATGTGTGTTTGTAAAGAGGGAGAAAGAGACAGAGAAAGAGAGGGGGAGAGAGGCATTACAGAGGCAATAAGGAAGGATAAGAGAGAGAGAGAGAGAGAGAGAGAGAGAGAGAGAGAGAGAGAGAGAGAGAGAGGAGATATATAGAGAACATGAGGACGATAATCCAAGAATACAAAGCGAGATCGGAAACGATAAATTGGCGAGCAGAAAACTCAAGCGACAAATTAGATCACCAGAAGAAATTTGGTCTGTGGGTGGTTTGTGGGGGAAGGGGGTGTAGGAGGAGAGGAATCAAAAACAAAATTAGCGTGAAATGATAGTGAAAGTTAAATCAACAACACTAAAGAAAGGAGTTATATGTATTTAGCCTGCCTAAAAACAGCGAATCCATCTTCCACTAGGTTTGTAATGTGTCAAACTGTCTCTCGTTGGCTCTCCAGAGTCATGCACTTTCCAGCTCAAAGTGTCTCTTATGTAATGTGCACATCTAATTGCCAGTAGGTCCCTGCCCCTCTTGCCCGATAGTAAGCCTTCTGATGCTGTTCTTTCTAGTGGGCCGTGACGTTCGATATGTTAGTTTCCGAAACATAATGCTGTTTGCGAACCATTTTCTTTGGTGTCTTTTAGGGGTACAATATTTTTTACGTACCCCAAACACGCCATCTAGTTTTGCCCCGCTCGGCGGTGGTGATATAGTCGCCGGAAAGAAGTCCGCAATCTGCCGTATGGGTATGTCCAGACGACAGGTGGACTTTCGACACCGGCAAAACTGTCGTGTGTCTTCCCGACAGCGATAATACACTATCTACCTGATGGTTGTTTCTGCAACGTCTCGTTCTGTGCAGAATGCTATGCTGTTGCAGGAAGGCAGTGCAGGTCTCCTTGTCTCGTACAGATGCTACTAAATGTATAAAATCTACGACTGGAACAAACAGCAAACAATGATGAAACCTGCTGCAACCAGACGCGGCAAATATGAAGACTGCTGACGCGCGTTAAACACAGGTCTTAAGAGGCGCCAACAAGCGCGTGCTTTTGCGATGCACTCTAAAAGGGAAAATTCCCCCGACCCTCTATCCCTCCCCCCCCCCTCCGGAAATTATCTGAATGTCTCTCGTGACGTCACCGTAACGTCATGGGGTAAGTTAAAATTTGTGTACCCTTTTAGGATGTCAGTATTTCTTTTCTTTTTCGTACATGGCATTATTATCATCTTTCTAAAGCATTTCAGCTCAAAAACCTGTATTTTCTTCTTTAGCGATTCCGAGATAGCCATAAATCACATCCATATTTAGCTACAAGAAAGATGCATGTTTTCAAAATGTTGACTTCGATTTGATCGCTGGTGCTTAGCCATAGACTGTAAGGTCTCTATTGTTTATTACGGAGCATAGATTTTCAAAGTTTGTAACGGTTTGAAATTTTTTTTTTGGGGGGGGGGGGGGGGGGGGAGGGGGGGGGGGGGGGGTGGGAGGCATGCAGCTTTGTCTATATTATTCCTCGCCGGATCCGTACTTCAGGTTACTACGCAAATGTCAGAGCTTCATATAACTGCTCACATTTGATTCTCAACCAAGGGGTATTAATTCTACGGACACTAATCCTGGAGAGGACAAACTACCTACCGACCTTTTATCTGTAGACATGTTTGTGTTTTTAATTTTACTACAACTACTGAGCGCAAAATCATAACAGGAAGAGATGAAAGTAAAAAATGAAATTTTGAAACCTGGCCTAAAGCATGCAGTTCTTTATGAGGCAAAGGATGAGATGGTTAGGCAATCTGACTAGAATGTCCAGATACCAACTGCCTTGGAGAGTCACACTAAATAAATGTAATGAACACACAGTAAAGGAAAAAATGAAAAGTATACAACGACGACGTCTGTAACAGCCTTTTGAGAAATGAA